CGGCACGACAAAGGCTGCACCCTTCGAAGGCCGATTGCGTCACCGCGGAGTGACAAAGGCTTCCCGAATTATAATGCGACTTCAAATGCTCCCTTCGTTTCTCAGACAATTAAGGATACAATTGATGGACCCTTCGCTTGCAAAACTTGTAATATTTTCTTTTGTTTTAGGGCTCCAGGGGTGGACAGCGGAATTTATCAAAATGAGGGCTGACCACGACCATTTATTTACCGAGGACGATAACTCGGCCAGTGTGGCTTGGGGGTAAGGCCTATTTCCACTAGGCTCTCTTGTGTATTATAGCAAATAGTCCTCACCCTATACAAAGCCCACAAGAATAAGACAACCAGTAGATAAGGCAATAGTCTTTCACTTTGTTGTTTTTTGTAGTGCTGTCATGCAAGGTATGTTTACAAATGTTTTAACCAAACCTGAGGACTTTTGTATGCATGTCCTGTTGTGTCATATTTTGTAATGTTAAGATTGCACTTATGTCAAGATTGTGCCCGTCTTAATGTATTTTATAAGTGTTTCCTTTTTCTCTTGTTTTAGGACAGTTGTGATGAAAATGGGCCTGCATGGGAAGGCCACTCCCTCAGAGGCCAGAAGAAAATGGAAGTACTTAAAAAACAAATACTACGTAAGCAAGTTGATTGGCCCGTCTTTGCGGAAATGTATTGTGCTGTTGTGGTTTTTGTTAACAGACATGGTTTATTTGCTCTGCCGTAGGATTGCAAGTGTAAGGGAGCGAGTGCTACAACTTGGCCGTGGTTTGCCCTCATGGATGAGGTGTTGGGACAGAGGCATTCCACCAACCCCCGTTTCCAACTTGCCTCCTTCCCTGAGGACACACCAGGGCCAAGTTCATCAGTGAATGAAGAAGATGAGGAGGAGCCACGACCACCACCAGCCGAGAGAAAAAGAGGCCATGTCGATGAGCTGGTCGAGGTACTTAGGGAAGACAATTTTCGAGGAGAGGAAAGGAGATCACAGGGAGAGAATGGACCGACTATTTTCTCTTTTGAGAGAATGGTTAATAAATACAATTTAAGTTAAAATGGGTTCATTAAAAAGTTTCTATATATATATATATATATATATATATATTTTTTTTTATTTTTTTTATGTCACTTATAATTTCTCAATGAAACAAAAAAAAATTATGTTGTTTATTTTTGTGATGCAAGTTAAAAATAATAGTTGTATACTGTGTCAAGCAGGACAAGGCCGAGGGCCGTGAGAGAACGGCGCGAGGCCGGTTACATGAATATTCATGAGTTTCCTGTTTCGAGTTAAAGCACCACTGAAAATATTAGTGCACGCTGCTCGGATCGCAGAAACTATTTTGCTGCGTTGAATGAAGTTAAGCTTCTTTTTTAACAGTTTATGTATGCTCGATAGTTTCTACGTTGTATCATGTGATATGATTTAATTACAGCCACTGATTTGCCAGTGACTTATCGTTATAGGATACGCTCCGAGCAATGAGCCATTGAGTTTGTTTGTTTGTTTGTTTTTATAATTTTTTGTTTGTTTTTAATTATATAGGCACTTCTTCTGTTTTGCTTTGATGGTCTTTAAAATAGTTTCGTTTGATAACTTGTATAAGTGTATCTGTGGTAATAAAGTTTCAGTGGTGATTATTTAGTCATTCCCTATTGCGTTCTCATTTGGTAACCTGCCATCGGAGGTGGACATATATGTCCATCCTCAACTTACTGGAGCCATACATCACAGACAGGGACACCTCTAGCAGTTTTAGACAGAACACTTCTTGTGATGAGGATGTTAGTGTAGTGGCTCTCCTTGAGTCTATGGTAACACCAGTGGAGGTAGTGTAGCATACTACGTGAACCTCAATGTTAAAGTGCTTTTACATCGGTTTTAATTGTGTAATAAGTGCTGCTATATCTGTATAAAGAATTGTAGGAATGACATGACATGTTAAATGAAAGGCAATTGTTAATCTTTCTGTCAAAGGAAGGAATTATTATTATTTCTGTCAAAGGATGGAATTATGATTATTATTAGTAGTATACTTTATCTGTGTGTATATATATACAGTGTGTGTATATATATATATATATATATATACTGTATGTATTTATTTATTTATTTAAAAAAAAAGTTTTTTCTGATTTGTCCCCCACAGACATCAGATGAGAGCACCCTGACCCAAACCCAGGCCAACGCCACACAGCCCGGATCTCCTGACTCCCCTAATGTGCCACCACTCTGCACAGCTAAAACTTCTCGCCGCACTCTTGCTTCAAAGAGAACCAACCCCCCTGTCCTACTTGCCTCCTTCCCTGAGGACACACCAGGGCCAAGTTCAGCAGTGGATGATGAAGATGAGGAGGAGCCACGACCACCACCAGCCAAGAGAAAAAGAGGCCATGTGGATGAGCTGGTTAATGAGCTGGTCGAGGTACTTAGGGAAGACATCAATTTTCAACGAGAGGTAGAGGAGAGGAGAGCACAGGATAGCAGTGAGAGAATGGGCCGACTATTTTCTCTTATTGAGAGAATGGTTAATAAATAAAATGTAAGTTAAAAATGGGTTCATTAAAAATTTTCTATATTTTTTTTTTTTTTCAATGTCACTTATAATTTCTCAATGAAACAAAAAAAAATATTTTTTTCTATTTTTATAATATTTAATATGTTTATTTTTGTGATGCAAGTTAAAAATGAAAGTTGTAAATAAGTTGTATACTGTGTAAAGCAGGATGAGGCCGAGGGCCGTGAGAGAACGGCGAGAGGCCGGTGTTCTGAAATATTCTCGGTGTCTGAGATTTTCGGTGACACTGGGCAGAGCTTACATGAATATTCACGAGTTTCCTGTTTCGTGTTAAAGCACCACTGAAAATATTAGTGCACGCTGCTCAGATCGCAGAAACTATTTTGCTGCGTTGAATGAAGTTAAGCTTCTTTTTTAACAGTTTATGTATGCTCGATAGTTTCTACGTTGTATCATGTGATATGATTTAATTACAGCCACTGATTTGCCAGTGACTTATCGTTATAGGATATGCTCCGAGCAATGAGCCATTGAGTTTGTTTGTTTGTTTGTTTTTATGATTTTTGTTTGTTTTTAATTATATAGGCACTTCTTCTGTTTTGCTTTGATGGTCTTTAAAATACTTTCGTTTGATAACTTGTATAAGTGTATCTGTGGTAATAAAGTTTCAGTGGTGATTATTTTGTCATTCGCTATTGCTTTCTCATTTGGTAACCTGCCATCTGTCACAAACTGCTCTGAGAAACAAAGGTTGAGGATCCAAATGCAGTTTATTTGAGTAATCCAGAATCGTAATCAAACACAGGCAAAAGGGTCAAGCACAGGAAGGCAGTACAAACAAACACAAACAAACAGGCAGGGGTCAGAGGCAAAAATCCAAGAACCAAGAGACAATGAAACCAGGGAGAATGCTCAGAAATGCAGTATAAACACTAAACAAGACTTTGCAGATAATGAATGAGAAAACCAGGCTTATATGGGGTGAGCTAAAAAAGATAATGAGACACAGGTGAATGTGATGATAATGGATGAAGAGTCCGGGGACTCGGGCAGTGAGTTATGGGAGATGTAGTTTGTGTGGGAATGACAATAGTCTGATGTGGAGTGCCCTCTGGTGGCTCTCAAGGGCACTCCGTTACACCATCGGAGGTGGAAATAAATGTCCATCCTCAACTTCCTGGAGTCATACATCACAGACAGAGACAGGGACACCTTGCAATTTTAATCCATCAAAACTGGCATCTATCATTTAATGTGTGCTTTTCCCATATTTTTCCTATTGCCTTTTTTCCCTTTCATTCCTACATTTGCTTCTTACATCTGCCTCCTGAGTCCAACACCCATATCTCAAAATCAATCAACAAACGATACATACATAGCTCTACTTTCTTTTTTCGACAATCTGTTACATTAGGAAGTACGTCACAGTAAGAGAAAAAAAGATATGTTGCTACTTTCATTTCATCACGACTTCAAGCACAATTAAAGCTCCAATCTAGAATTTTACAAGCATAAAATCTGATTATAATGTACAGCAGAGATGTTACTTTTTAGTGCTCATTTAACCTAGCTAATTACTATTTGAATTTGAAAATTGAATATATATGATCAGCTTCAAATATCAGACTTTTGCAAGGAAAAACACAAATACTTGCCTAATTTACACACAGGTGTTTTCATTTTTGATTAACTACAAGCCCAGCAATGTTAATATATAATTAATTTAAGTTATTTGTTCATTATACTATTGAATTCCTACTCATATAGTATGTAAGGTTAGGTATCAGTGATAGTCCTGTACTGTTTAGGAGATGATGTCTACGTGATGTCTTGTGACACATGGGTAACGTTTCTGGTGTTCCCTGTAAAGAGGAGCCCACATTTTCCTTGTGTCTGACATATATTTGAACTCTGTCTCACTTTGACCTTTCTATAAATAATTGGTTGAATATACTTGGCCATAGGATCTAGGTTTACTGGTTATTTTGGCATATGGGCAGGTTTACTTCACTGATGACACGTGGACTTGAGACTTTTACTACAGCATAGTATAGTATGCTAGCTCTCTTGCAGTTGTTATTCAGAATTTGCGAAGCACAAAGTTTATAAAATAACCAAGCCTGCTGTCTAATCCTGACACATTCTTTGTGGGATCACAGAACAGTGACTCTGTGACTCCGGGAATCAAGATATGTAACGATTCTGGTTCCAATTCTGATTCCTATAGGGTGCAAGATGTCATTAAAGGTATTTCTTTATTTTTATTAGGCTGGTACCCTGGTATTAGGATCCCCTTTAGTCTGCTAAAAACGTTCCAGCTCTGATTCAAACTTTCTTTGTCCTTTTATTCCTGCATGTCCTTTATTGTAGCATACCTCTTTTCCTCCTGTTCTTTTCTCGCATCCATTATGTATAGAGTGGATCGCTTCCATCTTCACTCTTCAACCCATATAGACAGATGTAGGAGTTTTTTAAACAACTTCAATTTCTCATACTCAGGCTACTTGGAAACATGCTATTGAGAAAGCCAAAGCCATGCCAGATCCTTGGGCTGAGTTCCATCTGGAGGAAATCGAGACAGAGCGCTGTACTCGATACAGGTGAGTGATTTTGAGCCCCTTTGGATGGTTAACCTACTCAAAGAGTTGAATCCATCAAAAGAGCTCAAATAGTTGACTCCATCAAAATGCAACAAGTTGGGGAAGATAGTTGGAATCTGTAGACAGCCAAGCTACAAGATGTTCAACGACAGCTAAGGCTATACTCACATCTATCAACAAACAAACATCATCTACACTGCAGCTAAAAGGGTTAAAACATTCCAGACCCATAAGACTTGTGACGAATGAAGATATTTCTGTTGATCCATTAAAAATCCATGCAACCGAAACTTTGACGGTTCAAAAGTTCATACGGAGATTATAAAAGTGTTCCATATTCTATAAAAATGGAGTGATTTAATCCAAGTGTTCTGAAGAGACACGATTGCTTTGAACAGATTTAATTTAGGATATTATTCACATATAATAATTGATGAACACATACATCATAGAGCACATCAAATATAGAAAATGGAAGATCAAACATGCTTAACGTCAAGCAAGCACATATAAAAACATATTGTAACGTTCTCAGGCAAGGACGAGACGGTTTTGATAACAAAGGGTGTTTATTAGAGGCTGTTGTCGGCCACAGCCCACGCCATACACACCCGATTTATAAGAGAACCGCACTTGAACCAGCGAGGCGCTCTTCTACCCCCCTCCTCCCCAGATTTCCCCATCACTCTCACAAGGGGTGGAGCCTCTTTCCATATACAACTTGACAACGAATCAATCGAATCACATAAAACGAATAAAGTAAAACATTAACATTAAATGCATCCTTATTTGTAACAGAACAGCATTTTGAACACGTTACACTACCCCCCTCTAACTGAAGTCCTCGACCCCGAGGACAAAGTCTCTAAATCTGACTGGGGTTCTCCTCTCCCTCCTAGGACGCCCCCTGAGGAGCATGTGATTTTTGACTCCAGGTGCCGCTTCCTCTGAGCCCTGCGAATGATCACCCTGAGGGATGTCGGGCATCAGTGTCACCTGCTGACCACTACTGGCCATATCAGCTGGTCCAATTAACCCCTCTGACCCCCTTTGTGTCTCACTGTTTTGTGAAGGAAGTACTGTGACACCCTCTGGCGTCGCGGTGCCCCGGTAAGGGGCCAGCCTATCACGATGCAGTACCACTTTGCGCCCCCGAGGAGGCAACTGCACTCGATACACCACCTCCCCCAGCTTGTCCAATATCGGGCATGGTCCCACCCAGTGGCTATCCAGCTTAGGGCACCTTCCTCTCTTCCTAACTGGGCTGTAAACCCAAACTAGCTCTCCGACCCCAAAGTTGCAGCCCCGAGCATGCAGATCATACGCTCTTTTTTGCCGCACCCCTGCGGTCACCAGCTGCCTCCTGGCATATGCATGGGCAGAGTCCAAGCGGTCCTGGAGCTGTCTAGCATATTCAGGTCCAGCTGGAACAGGAGGGGCATCAGGAGGCCGCCCAAAGGCCAACTCTGCAGGGGTTCTAATCTCCCTACCCAACATGAGCAGGGCTGGTGTGCATGAAGTAGAGTCCTGAATAGCAGAGCGACATGCCATTAAGACCAGTGGCAGATGGGTGTCCCAATCGTGCTGATGAGTTGATGTTAAAATGGACAACTGTTCAGCTAGTGTCCTGTTGAATCGCTCCACGAGCCCGTCGCTTTGGGGGTGGAGTGGGGTGGTGCGGGTCTTGTTAATTCCCAAACGATCACACATGGAAGAGAATACCTTGGACTCAAAGTTTCTGCCTTGATCACTATGGATACACTGGGGGACCCCAAACCTACTAAACATGCCCTCCACCAAGACATTGGCAACAGTCTCAGCCTCCTGGTTAGGCAGTGCGAAGGCCTCAGGCCATTTCGTAAAGTAATCCATAGCAGTCAAGACAAAGCGATTTCCCTGTGTGGTGCAAGGAAATGGCCCCATGACATCCACCCCCACCCGCTGCATCGGCTCCTCCACCAGAAACTGCTGCAGTTGGGCCCTAGACTTCCCCTGCGGCCCTTTGCGTGCTGTACAAAGATCGCAACGCCTGCAGAAGTCCTCTACATCACGCCTCAGGCGTCCCCAGTAGAAGGCCTGACGCAGACGCCGAAGTGTTTTCGTCACCCCAAAATGGCCAGACCCGGCAAAGCCATGCATAGCCTTCAACACTGCCTCTTGCATGTCCCCAGGCACCACGACTTGCCATTTTTTTTTCTCCTGTCGCTGGCACCACCCATGCTCGCTGGAGGACCCCCTCTGTCAACCGTAGACACTTGAACTTGGCCCACAATCCCTTGGTGAATGAGGAGAGGGCTACTACCTCCTCCCATGGTGGTCGTTGCTGTGCCTCTACCCAGAGGATCACTGGCAATAGGTCTGGGTCCCCCCTCTGATTCTCTGCCCATTGAGTGACATCCACCTCCTGTAGCTCCCGACAGACCGGCTCAGGCCCATTGCTACCATCCACTTTCTGGCTAAGCTCCCACTCTCTGGCTTCTCTGCGCTCACAATACCTGCATTCCTGCATTCTACATGGACGTCTCGACAGGGCGTCTGCATTACCATGCCGTTCCCCTGCACGATGCGTAATGGTGAACTCATAACTCTGCAATTCCTCGAGCCAACGAGCCACCTGGCCCTCTGGTTCCTTGAAAGTCATCAACCACTGCAAGGAGGCATGGTCAGAGCGTATGGTGAAGTGCCGACCGCACAAGTTGTACTTAAAGTGCCTGATGGCAGAGATTGTGGCCAACAGCTCTCGTCGTGTGACACAATACCTCTTTTCAGCTTTGTTTAGCACCTTGCTGAAATATGCTACCACTTTCTCTCCGTCTTGCCACCTTTGGGACAAAACAGCCCCTATTCCATCCCCACTTGCATCTGTATCAAGAACGAAGGGCAGTTGGGGATCGGGAGGTGCCAGAATGGGCGCGCACACCAGGGCTTGCTTCAGAGTATCAAAAGCCTTTTGACAGCACTCTGACCAGACAAAGCACTGATCCTTCTTCAGAAGCTTGTATAAGGGGGCAGCAATACAAGAAAAACCCCGTACAAACTTCCTGTAATAGGATGCCAGACCCAAGAAGCTTTTTAACTCCTTCTGACTCACCGGGATAGGCCACTCCTGTACGGTTCTGACCTTGTCTTCCGCTGTGCCAATCCCCTCACTGTCAATGCGATGCCCCAAGAAGGTCACCTCTCTGCTTAACAGCTGGCATTTATTGGGATGTAATTTCAGACCCGCTGCTCTGATTTTCTCCAGCACCACCCTCAGGGCTGTGATAGCTGAATGGAATGAGCTCCCATGTGCCAGTATGTCGTCCAAAAACACCAGACACTGCTGCCGCGGAATGCCTTCCAGTACCCTCTCCATTAGGCGCTCAAATGTGGCAGGGGCATTGCAAAGACCAAAACAAAGGACTTTAAATTGCCACAGACCTCTTCCCGTGCAAAAAGCCGTCTTGGGTCGAGCTTCTGGCTTTAGAGGCACTTGCCAGTACCCACTCCTCAAGTCCAATGATGAAAACCAGCAAGAGCCAGCCACCAGATCCAAGCAATCATCCACGCGTGGGAGAGGGTACGAGTCTTTCCGTGTCACTGCATTGAGCCTCCGGTAATCGACACAAAAGCGCCACTCCCCCCCTTTCTTTGGGACCATGACCACCGGGGATGCCCAGGGGCTTTCAGAAGGCTCTATTATACCCGCACGCTGCATCTTTACCAACGCCTGCTCTGCCGCCTCCTGCCGACCTAAGGGCATACGTCTGGGCCGCTGACGTATGGGCGTTGCATCCCCGGTGTTGATGTCGTGTTGCACCAGGGAAGTCTGACCCAGGTCCTCGTCATCACAGGAAAAACAGTCCTGGAATTCCACTAACAGCTGCCACAACTGTCCTTGTTGCTGCGTATCCAGGTCATTGGAGCTCCTTTGTGCTATCTCCTGCAGAGCCTGCCTTATTTCTCCCTCTCCCCTTGAAACAGACTCAGGCCAATTGTGCAGTAACAGGGGCTCTTGCTGGGACGCACTGGGTGGCACTGCGCAGTGTGAACCATCTCCATCATTGAGGTTACATGCCCAGGAACCTATAGTCAGCCCATCTGTTTGACGAGCTCCTGGTGGCCTCATCCTCACTACCTGACCATTGCCGAAACTCAATGTGGCCTTGGACAGATCTAACTGACAGCCATGGTCCCTCAAAAAGTCCAAACCCAAGATACAGCTGTCCTGTACATTAGCTATCCACACCAGATGCTGCATATTCACGCCCCCCACGGTGAGTGTCAACAGCCCCCTCCCTATCATCGGTGCCAGCTCACCGGTCACTGTGCGGAGTTGAACTGCTGTGTCTTCTAACCGTGTTCCCTCCGGCACAACCTCTGGACGAACCACAGTAACTGTAGACCCTGTGTCTACTAGGGCCGTGCATTCCACTCCCTCAATGCAAATGGGAATATGGCAAAAATCTGATATGGCTGTCCTTCCCACCACCACCACCCCATGCTCCTTAGTCCCGTTGTTCATGCTGGGCCTGTCTGCGTGTTCCAATGACGAGCGGGACATGGGCTTGGGGGTCTGCAGCGTCCCGCCTACTGCGCCCCCCTCCTGTTTCCCGAATTCCTAGCCAGCATAGGGCATTCCTTAACCAGATGTCCCGGCTGACCACACCCCCAGCAAAGGCGGGCCTGTGTCTGCTGTGTCTGCCTCCTGGGCGGAGGCAACGCCAGTCCACGAATCATCTCCGTAATCTCCTCCAGCCACTCAGGTTTTGGTGAAGCCATGTCACCCCCTCCTGCTGCCCTGATGGTGGGGGAGGGATCCGTTGCTGACCCCCGCATTGCTGCCTCAACCGCCATTTCCCTCTCCAGTGCCAACTCCAAGGCTTCGGCCAAATCACGTGGGCGTGCAAGCTGTGTATGTATGCGCAGCTCCGCTGGGGAAAGAGCTCTGATGAACTGATCACGGGCCAGCTCGCTCTGCACTGATGGAGGAATATGTGCATATGCTCGCCTTGCTAGGG